CCAACTAGATTCATTTTCCCATCGAACAAGATACTGTTAAAGAAAATCGAAGCAGTTTTACTGCCCTAAACCGTGATGACGGACACAAAAATAAAAAAAAACACACGTCGTTGTAAAATCAATACATTCATCGTTCCACTCAGAATCTAAAATATCTGATGCCATCAAGAATCAAAATATAATATTATAAGTAGGTACCTACCCACAAATTTGAAATTACGATGTGTTAAGAAAGCTGCTTCTAAAATTATTAGTGGGGGACGGAGTGGTCGAGCGGATTAAAGGCTCTGCCAAACAGCACGCGTTAAAGCGGTAGGTAAATGGACATATTATGGTTCGTCGGCGTGGGGCTTTCACGCGCGTGAATAACGCCGCGTTGTAACAATTTACAAAATCACCCGACGTGAAAATAACGCTTTCTGTTTGACAGAGCCTTAATAGTTGACGGGCTTCATGATCAATAAAAAAAAATATATATTATTACTACGATAGTACGATATACAGTGGTGTTCTACTTATTTATAATATTTATAGTAGACAATAGACATTACACTATTACCTATCAATTTCAAAAACAAATGTGTATTCTGTGTCTGTATAACATACAGTTGACAGCAATATAGCATAATCATTTATATGTGAATGCAATACAAATAATGCGTAATCTTGCATCATGCATTAGTTACTGGATCAGTACTTTTTCCCGACATTCAGTTGCCCGACACCTTATTACCCGACACCATTTGCCCGACACTACGTTTGCCCGACACTACGTTTGCCCGACACTACGTTTGCCCGACACTATATTTACCCGATACTACACTTGCCCGACAATATTAAATTATAATGTAAATAAATAAATTTCAATAACATATATTACACATTCAAAATGGTTAGGTTAGGTTAGGTTTATTTCGTAAGTTATGTTGTCCATTAATTAAAATGGTACAAGCATAACCACCACAATGGAGAGTTTTTCTCTTTTCGCAGCACCAATAATACAAATCATCTCTATTTTTGTCTTTTGTCATTATATAACCATCGATAACAAGTTTTATACCACCTCTATTTGATAAAACAGTTTCACAAATTTGTGCCATTTTTCGATTTATATTAAAAAAAAAATAATTAAAATAAAATCAAACTGAATTAAATCAAAATTAAAATATTTTTAAAAGAAAGAAGTAAAATTCGTACTAAATGTGTATCTATATAACGGCTATAACTGTACTGTAGGAACTGAACTATCAAATGTCGCATTAAAAACCTACGGTAATTTTATCTGTCTATCGCAGTATCGCCTATCGGTTTACTTGGAAATTAATAAATATTAATAATAATAACAATATAGATTGTATATTAGTATTACGTATAGTCGTATAGTAAAAATATGTGAAATATATTGTCGGGCAAATGTATTGTCGGGTAAATATAGTTGTCGGGTAAAAGTAGTGTCGAGTAAAAGTATTGTCGGGCAGATGGTGTCTGGCAAATGAAGTGTCGGGCATTTGAGTGTCGGGCAAACATATCAGACCCGTTGATACCTATATTTAGATATCTGTGCCATGCAAATTACGTTCTTATTAGATACACGCATAGACAAATATTTTCAGATATAAAATCGTCAGTTTTATGAACGTATTTCAATTCCTTATGTGTGTTGTGAGTTGTGACCCCCCGCAGTAATAAATTAATAAAAAAAAAAATAAACTACCTAGGTACTAGATAACGAGTGCGCCATTATACAAATCTAGAAACTTTTCTTTGTACAATAAATTATAATATATTATTGTCACCAGATTATATCATTACAATATTTACTATTAATATATACATGGTTAGGTCCTTATATATGTGACCACAATATTTAAATTTATCTTAACGTTGACAAACTCAATCCAGTCAAACCCATACTCGAAATATGTAGGTACACAACTATATCATTATTTTTAGTAATATTTATTCATCGTTTACCTTCGCGGGATATCGCATTATATGATTTTTTCATATTTCATGACCGAATTAATAAACAAATTAATGCACGTAGGTATTATACAGGGCGTTTCGCCAATCATGCTCACCAGCACACCACCTTTCAATAATGTTGATTTATGGCATTTTTAAGTAGATATACATACATTTTCAATCATGACAAGTGACAACGTAAATTTTGCCATGTTTTCAATACCTACCGTAACCGTTGTCCGTTTTTTTAAGAAACATTCTGTAGTAGGTATTACAAACTTAATTTTTTCAAATGAGAACCTCGCTATATTTTTAATGAAATTGTCAAGCACGTAATTTCTTTGAAAATTATAACACGTTTTAATTTAAACGACCGTAGGTAGGTATAAGAGTTTAAACTGTATGTGCTATAAAGATAATAGTTCTTAATAATGGTTTTACACCAATTATAAAACAAAATTTAGTTTAGACCCTATTGTACTCGGACAATTTTAAAATAATATACAGTATAACTTCCGTTAACGGTCACCTCTATAGGACGGTCAATTTTTTTGGTCCCGTCGAGGGTTATCCTACCTCCGTAGAACGGGCACCTCTAAATAGCGGTCATTATTTACAGCCCCTTCAGTGACCGTTATATGGAAGTTCCACTGTAATAGACTATTATCATTAGTAAGTACATATTATAAAGTATAATAACTCTTAAATTATATTTTATTCGTATCTACCTATATAAGCACCCCTGCAATTTCGAAACAAAATTTCTAAAAAAGTAAAAAAAAAAGCGTTGAAGTACTTATTTTAAAATAGAAGTTTATTATTAATAAAACCAAAGGATACCTACTTAAAAAATCCAAGTATTTGTAAATATGGTTTTAAGTACAATTAAAAATTCTAAATATCAGAATTAAAATAAATAGTACAAGGTATAGAAAAATAATGAGAGTAAGAACCATGCGAGATGAACAAACCAGTTTACAAGAATACAGGGCGATTCTTTTATCACCATATATACAGTCATTTTCTCAGTAAATGTATTGCTGAAAATTTTTTTTACCCAGCAGTGTATTGAGATGACCGTGAAACTGCAGCAGCTGTTGATGTATCAGTTATCAGTTATCACCTATCACATATGAATCAAATTTAAGGTTTTTTTCTATCTATTAAAAAATGGAACCATTTTGAAAACATACACATACAGTATAATATCCCAATTCATAATTTAAAATAAACAGCTAAAAATGTATTCATTAAAAATTATGTATTTAATTGATTTATTATTATCTCTATTTGATAATGTTGAAAATGTTGTACTGGAGTCTAACAAATAATCATACATTCAGTATGTGAATGTATTTAATCGTTAAGTAGACATAATCAATTTGCTCAGAAGTAGTCTACAAATGGATTTATGGAAATATCAACATTTTGATGAGTTTTAACATATCATATTATATAAAAATTATATTCTCAGATAATAAAAATATATAAAATATTGGAATATTAAAAACATAATAGCTATTTAATTATTTAAAGATGTATAGTTTGTTTTTAACATTGTTAATGGAAAAATAAATCGGAATGTATAAATTAAATCATTATGTAGTACATAAAAATAAAAAACATATTTATTAACATTTTGGTAATAACTGGTATCCACACGTGAATAATCAACTTCATACCATTTATGTGCAAATAATCAAAGAAATGTATACATATTATCAAATAATTTCATTGGGAATTTAACATTGTAAAGATATATTATATTAAATACCCAGATAATTTTTAGTCAAATAAAAATTGACATTATTGAATTATTAAAGCAAGCTTGCATTTCTTTTATATCATGAGATATTTTAACAAAATGAATCACCACCATATCCAATTATTATTTCCATCAGCCCGTGAAATGAATGATACAATAATAAAATTAAACAAAAATGCTTTTATTTATTTTAATTAACAGACATAATTAAGAAAATCTTAACTATTTTATTGCCATACTAACTTCTGATGAACAATAGTAATAACATATCATAACTATTACACAGAATAGTCGTTTAACAACTTTGACAAATTAAAAAGATTTTATTGATTTTTTTTTTTAGAAAAGAGTTATTTGTTTTTGGTCCTATATTTTTGTTTAGAGAAATGTTTTATGTTTGCCCCATTACATTCAAGTTTAAGTGACATTTTTCAGTCTTAAATTATTACAAACAATTCAATCAAAAAACAAACAAGTTATCTTAACCATTTGTCTTGAAGGGAAATAACACTATTCTTACCTAAATGTTTAGTTCCAAATTACATATATTTATTTATATCTATTAGTTTTATACATTTTTATTTTAATATAATTACATTTCACGTTGAAAATTGTAATAAAAAAATAGGTCAACTCTAAAAATCGATATTGTATAATTTTTTAATATACACCATTGACACGAAAATATCTACAAAAAGCTCTACGGTTTGTATGAAATCAATTACAGTTGTGGATCGCAGCATTTGAACAGCGACATTTGTACAAAAACAAAAAGAAAAACAAATTAAGAGTTTAAAATATCACAACAAAAATTGCAGTAATTTAAAGATCACTTTAAAACAACATAAAAATAAAATGGTCTTCCTCATACCAATATTTAATAGTTAACTTGTTAGTTAGTTTGATTGTTCCTTTTGAGAAATATAAACCAGGTACAAATTTTTTTTTTTTTTTTTGTTATTGTAATTACAATAATAGTTATCATTAAGTACTGATAGATATTAACAGTCCAAAGGAAAGTCAAATATACAAGAATTGATTTTGGGTAAAAAATGAAAATAGAAATGTTTTTAAGCAACATTTACCTAGCTTTACACATTATTTATGAAAACATCTATTAGGCGTATCATACTTAGCATGATTATTATTTACACAGGGGTGATGTCATTTAGTCTATAACTTAAAATTATCAAGTGTTGGCGCTTGTTTTGTATAACAAAACAGGTAAATTATTATTCAAATTATAGATATAAGAAAATTTACAAACATATTATGTATAACGGGGCCTCTTGGTTGGCGATTTTAAATCTCCATTTTCATCTTCTTCTTCATCTGAATCACCTTCATAGTCAACTAAAGCCTGGGGAAATTAATTAAATATTAAATATTATATCAAAAATAATTGTCGAAAAAAAAATCAATTAATTTAACAATAAGAGTTGAAGGTTAATTACTATTATATATATATATATATTATGGAATTGTGAGACAATGTGCCGTATTCATAGTTGATGTTTAAGAAGACATGATACCCTCATATGTTATCTTCGTCTTACAAGTACATAACATAGCAAATTTTACGCTCAGCAGAACACGAGTAGGTCTGTTAATTTAAAAACTAGAGTGAATTGACTTCTTATAAAATCTAAAGGTAAGATTATTATCTAGGCAACCTCGACCAACCTTAAAAAAACAAGAAGGTAATTTTTTTTTCTTTTCTTAAGCCAAAATCTCATTTTAGTCATAAGTATAGGCGTATAGCATAAGTAATAGACTACTTATTCTTAGGTGTCGACTATGAATACGGCCCAATAATTAAATTTGATATAAAATAACTAACTTTTTTCAAAAGAGAACTATTTTTTGAATCTTCAGGTGATGAACTCAATGCCGGAGTAGCTGCCAAATTATTGTTCATAATTGGGGTTGTTTTTACCGTAGTACCAAATATTTTTGTGCTGCTACCTTCACATTTCTTGTCGATACTTTTACCTATTAAATAACCCCATCACACATTTTAAATATATTTATCTTTTTGGGAAAAAAAATTTAAAAAAGTTACCTATGGATTCCAATTGTTCAGAGGCTGTAATTTCAGTTGAACCAGTCATTCCTGTATGTGGAACAACTGCTTCACCATCATCAAATTCATCATCTTCGTTATTAAACCATATTTCTTCTTCATCTTCTATTTGCCGTGGATCTCTTCTAAATCGACCAGTGGATACAGTAACGCTAGTAATACAACTGAGTAAATAGATTATAAATTATTTATAATAATAACTTCTAAAACTCTTAACATACCTTGTGATAGGTTTTTCTTTTAATTTTTCAGTTTGCTGACTATGGCGTATCCTTAGGGCTTTGAAGGTTTGTACATAATCAATGTGTTCAAACTTTTTACCATAATTTTCAACAACATGTGCTATCAAAATTTTTATATCTTCAAGTTTTATAAATTCAAATAATTCAATAATGGCAGAATCAAGTAAATTGTATCTGCCATTATTATCTAGTAGACAATCAATAACAGGACCAAATAAACATCCCTTCATAATATAACGGTTATAAAACTCGTCTTTGAGTGCAACAATTTTCCTCATGAAACGTAAGGCTCCTAATACTAAAAATTTATGGGCAGACTTCATTAGTACCAATACACGTTTCAATAAATCTTTGTTCAGAATGCAAGTTTTTATATGATATGAATGATGTTCTACACAAAATGTCAGCAATTCAAGGATGTGTGCCAATAACTGTGCATTTTGGTAATCATCTCGTGCTGGCTCACCATCCACCGTGTTTGCCAATAGCGGCGCTAAAAAAAAAATTATACTAAATGTAAAAGCTTCTTTGTATTGTTTAATAGCATAAGTAATTTGTGCAACAAATACCTATGAGAATTTGGACACTGTGTTTGTAAAAATAGTTGAGAAAATCAGTTTTTTCTACTTTGCTTAGTGAAGGCAACATGTTTTCAGGATCAATTAATACCCGTATAACACCCATTAACTGGACAGCACGTCCGAGATCAGGATCTGTATCACATATCATCTGTTCAATTATCACATTCATTAGCATCAATTCTACTTCACTTCCATTTGCTTGAGTCACTAAAAAAAATATAAATAAATTTAATAAAAACTGATTGTAATGCTGAAGAGTAAACAATAAATATATTTAATTTAAATATCTGGATTTCTAATCAATTATCAATTATTTTTATTTATAAACGAAATAACATTCTGTTTTAAATACATATAGTATAAATTTATTGTTTATTGTTGTGTATTAATGTACAATTATTAAAGTGGGCGTGTGTGTGTGTGTGTGTAAGACAGAGACAACACATGCATGTTATGATGAATAAGGTAGACAATTAATGAACTTCAGTCTTAAATAAAACCTAGTGTTAGTATTTGATGATGTTTTATAATATGCAAATCTGACGGTAGAAGAAGCATTTATTATAAAAATTCAAGATTTTAGAATAAAAAAATTATTAGTGGAATTTAACATAATAAAACTAAACTTTAAAATATGAATATTCTTCTGTATCTGTTATCTTAAGTGTAGATTTGTCTAGTGTGTGATTTATTTATGGGAAAAGAGTAAATATTTCTTATAATATTTTTAATCATGTTAGTATATTGTTGGCTAGTCACTATATTATTAAGACATATAATTTAAAGTGTGTATCTACATTACAAATTTATTAGCTTAGTTAAAAATATTGTTAAAAATTAATTTTAATAAGTTATTTCCTGCTATATGTTTTAATACTGATATCAAATTTTTATGACAAAAACATATTAAATGTAAAATGTTAATAATTATTATGTGTGCTACAAATAATTGTAAACAATAAATTACTATTATTTACTTTTATTTAAAAAATACCATGTACAACTGACGATCACTCAGTGGTAGGGGGCTTACTTTTTACATGACATAACAACAAACAAGTATTAACTAAATTATAATATACAATAGGAATATTTTAAAATATAAGAAACATTATCTAAGTAAATTCTTCAGATAAAAAAAAAATTTCTTTAAATGGATTAAATTTGAAATATTTATAACACTATATTTTGTGTACCCTCAGAATAGTTGCACACAATTAAATGAGGGTCAACTACTTTTACTTGTATTATAAAAACTTAAAATGCTTACAAGGAAACATGTAAAATACTCATACAATCATAAAAATATGCTATATAATTTAATTAAGTGGACAAATAAAAGAATTCAAATTTGAAGATAGTGTTTACTAATAAGAAGTAGTCTCACCGGTATCTGAAGACTGCTGAAGAATGTATTCTCGTATAACAGAAGGTGAAAATTCAACAAGAATGGTAAGAATGTCAATGGCAGCCTGCTTAATATTCACATCTTCAGACATTAAAGTCATTTCAAGCATTGGTAAAATACCCAGAGATGTCAGAGTCTACAAAATTGAAAAGAAATTTAGTCACAAAAGAAATTAAAAAATGTGATTGCCAAATACTTACTCTGAAGAATCCTTCTTTTTGTGGGGGTTGTAAATTTTGTGAAAAATTGCAGAATTCCTTGAGGAATTGCACTAATTCCAGTTTCCTGGAGTCTGGAGTGCTTTCATCTTGAAGTTGACCTAACAGATCTGGTAAAAACTTTTCGTCTTCCTACAATTTTTATTATAAGAATGTAATAAAATACCAGGGTTAAAATTGTAAAACTTAAAAAAAAAATAATGTATTTACTTGTATTAAAGTGACGATTTCCACTTTATTGAAAAATATAAAACTACTTAATGCAGATAACATATTATCCTCAAATACAGATGGTGTTGGAAGAACCACATCCTGAATGTACTGCACTCTATGTGTCTGATGTATTTTGTTCAATAACTCGAGATTAGTTATCAGAATGACTTCTTTAAATCTAAAAACAAAACAAAATAGGCTCAATGTAATTTATGAAAATCAGTTATATAATATTTTTAGAATAATTTACTTTGAAACATTCTTTAAATGATGTCTATGGTATTTACGGATAGGTAAAGTTGGATCATACTCTAAACAGCCAATGACATCAAATATAATATCATCTAAAACAAAAATATATTATTTTAATATAAATTATACAAGTTTAATTTGATTTAATATATTTACCGGCAAAAAGCATTTCAAACAAAGCATTTTTATTGATAAGGAAAATGTTTTTGACAATGTCATATAAACAATGAAGACCTTCCAAATTATTGAGATCCTCACACAGATTGAATAATTTCACCAACTTGCGTACATAGCCATCATTTTCAATAGCTTCAGCTAACCTATCTTTATTTAAAGGTGTGGCCATACAAGTGATGAAAAGCTATAAATAAAATAATTTGTCAGGAAAAATGTATTTTAATAATTGATTTGTTTAAATTACGTCTTTAATTTCTTTAAGTCTGCCAATTTCACATAGCGGTAATTCAACAGGAGGAGCTGAATCTGACAGATCATCAAACCGCTCATCTTCAGACTCTTCAACAATATCTTGAGTAGTTTCTATCGTTGGGTCCTTTCCTTGAACACTACAAATTTTTTCCCATATTTCTTCACAACCAGCTTTTTCTTGAAAACTTAATGCCAAGTCAAAATTATCAGCTTCGGACCAAACAATTAGTGTGTCCTGTATTTAATAGAATTAATAAATATTGATTTTTAGACAAAAAGGTATAAGAAATAATTATTATAATTTAAATATCAAATAAAATAAACTAACTTGTTGTTTTTGATAGACTGTATCGTGTTGAATTTTTGATTCTAATAAAAGAGCACCTAAACAAAATAAAATTTACTTAATTTTTTTATATTAGAGTAACACAGCTTAAAAATTAATATAATATATACATCATTACCTACTTATTAGCATTCGTAAAACATTTTAAAATATGAATCTTTAATTCATGGTACCTACCTAAATGTTTGTTAAAATAAGTAGGAAGAACATAATTTAATAAAAAGAATTAATATTTGTTTTAATTTGACTATGTAGATAATACCTAAATGAAAAATCATAATAGTTACAAATTTGATTAACATAAGTACATTAATCAACTAATCACTAATGACATTACAAATTATAAGTTATAGGTAATTACATACATACCTATCATTTAAAATTAATGATTTGTTTAACATTCATGTTGAAATTCAGTCTTTATTATGAGTACTAGTGTACTACTTTACATTTTAAATAAACCTACCTATGGGTACTAAGTATCTGTTGAATTCATAATAAAAACCTATTGGCTCTTAGCTTTATTACCAATAAAACCAATTAAATAATAGATATTATTATCAATATTTTTCAGTGATGGGAGAACACTTTTGAAGATGATCGATAGGTAGGTACACTAAAATGGTGAAATGATTAGGCTACAATTATCCTATTCAAAGAGGAATCGTAGAGAGCAATGTTAAAATGTCTCAACAAGAATGGTAGGTACAAATAGAATCATTGATCATAATCCAGATAAGCTTAGATGTTAGGAAGGTACCTAGTAGAAACAAATCAAACAATAACAACAGACCACAAGGTAGGTAAACCCGAAGGTGTCCACCTAACGTAGCAGAGCACTCGATTAAAAAGATACTAACCATCGGCTTCGGCTCGAACCAAAAGAGAAACGCCTTTGAGCCGTTCGACGTATGTGCACGACACATGCCCCGTGCCACGGTCGTCCCACTGACGATCGGCATTCAGGGCGTACAACTTCACTCGCCGCTTGGTGTCAGTCATTGCGTCGAACATGGGTCCACAACGGTCATCGCAGGAAGAACAAAATGTATGTGATTTTTGATCCTTTCAGACGACCAGTGACCACCACTGATCACGGCCGGATGCCGTCGACTGCAAAGGTTCCGTCGACGGTGGTTAGACGGCAGTTGGCGTAGCGACGGCTAAACTATTTCCGGAAAAAAATAACTTAGTTGACGCGCGATACACAGACAGGCTTACCGGAATTCAGCGGGACCCGCCGAATTCAACCAAGTGTCCGACGGAACGGGCCGGGCAAGCGCGTGCGGTGACTATCGGGTGAAATGTACGGCGCGCGAACTGGTCAAAACTATCGGAATTGGTTTTATCAGCGACGGGACGTGACAACATTTCGCGGACGCACGCTCTAAACAACAAACAGTGGACACACGGCCATTTTGAAAACAAAAAAAAATAAAATAAATAATATATATAGCGCGTACGCAAAGGAGGAGGAATGAATAATAATAATAGTAGTAAACGCTCGTAACGCGTTCCGTTCACCAACTCGGTTACTAGTGAAGTGGAGGAACGACCGCGGCGGACGCGCAGTGCGGCCAACCAAACCGCTGTCCAACCGACGCCGCCGACCGAAAGAAAACAAAAACAACACTCGCGCCACACCGATACCGATACAATAATAATTTGTTCAGGTGCACACATCCCGATATTATTATTATATTTATACGATAATTTATACGACTACTGGAAAGTGGGAACGCGTGTCGTGTGTGAGTTGTTGTTGTTGTTATTGTTGTTGTAAAGTTGTAACGCCCGCAAAAACCGTCGTTGTCTTTCGGATTGCCGGCTGATCGCTCATGTTGTGCAGATAGAATGGGGGGGGTTAGGGGGTTTGATGTACGGCTTACGGAATACAGATACAGATTACAATTTGCAGATGATCTGTCACAGATCGCTATCTGCCGAGTTCCGATGATCATCATCTTTATCGTTTATTTTAATATTTGATAAGACTGATCAGTCGACGTCACAACCACGATTTAAGATTTAATAATATAATATTATTTATTGTAATCTATAGATAACATCATAATCATATGTAATAAATTAATTGGGCTCTGCCCGTAATTGTAAATTGTAATGTTTTCAATAAAAAAATGAAATTAATAATCGTGGATTCGTCGTGGTCAGCGCCGAACTCAAAACTGTAAGACGGTCACTCAAGTCCGTATCTGTGGGGGGTCTGGACTCCCCCCCCCCCGAAATATCTGGATATGGCCTTGCGGTCACTATATCATATAACTCAATGGGAGTACTGGAGTACTTTTCTATGACTGGACGGGCTAAGTCCAATTCTGGAGTCTCGAAGTGCACCCTGCAGCATTATAAAGTATCATGATTCATGATCTGCTAGCAGCTGACAATTCCGATACTCTCGACCGTTAAATGTACAATACTCTAAAGTTTAGAATGTTGTACAGACTAAACTCTAAAGGTACTATAATTCCACTATCACCGTTGTCCGAAATCAGACTGTGTTCTGAATTTACTATTTTATTAATTAATTCACCAAATAAAAAAATATTGTTTCAGTTTGGGTAAAACAGTGGAATAGTTGACAATTTTCAACTATTTGGTACCTATAGCATGGTAGGAAGTATCACGGTTTACAGCAGTGGCGGATCCAGGGCTTATTTTTTTTTTGTGGGGGGGGGGCAATAGTACAAATATTGGCCATTGGGGGGAGGAACCCCCCTTTTGGATCCTCCGCTGGTCTATAGAGAAACGGTGACAGTGATATAGCAGTAGTCTTGATTTGTAACAATATGCACAGTACTATTTTTATATGTTCAAAACAGTTGTAAACTGTATAAGTAATTATAACGGTCACAAAGTTTAATACGTAATATATAAAATAAATAAATAAATATGTTAAATTGTTAATATAAAATAGTTACTTAATATTACATCGTAAGATTTCATAATTTCAATAGTATTGTATTGTTTCACTTCAGTATTACACTCAGTATAAATTTGTAATACGTTGTTAAGATTGGTAAGTCATCCATAAAACTAAATAAAAAGTTATAAAATTAAAATTATTATAGTATAAAAATTAGTAGAAAATTAATTAAAGTATAAATTAAAATATGTAGTGTTATTAACTATGTATTAACCAAGATTGAAATATCCGATATTTCACCATGGTATTAATTAGGTCTTATTTTGTATAAGTGTGGTCAGAATCAATATGAATGTAGGGAGTTTGGTCATTTCCTTTTAAATCGGCGATTATTTGATTTCTAATTGTTAATGTAGGTTTATTTAATCTTTGTTCTTCTGGTGCTTGTACTCTTTGTTTTTTGATGGAATAAAACCGTAACTGTTTTTCTGCATTTTTGTTAACAGGTTCCTGATTTTCTACATTTTTTATTAAATTATTTTCTCCTTCATACAATATGCCTAAACCTGTATCAATAGAAGCGTTGATTTTTGTTAGCTGCTGGGAACTTAATGTGCTTGCTTGGGACATAAACATGTTGTAGAATTCATAAAGTTTGTTACCAATGGATTCTGTGGATACAGAAGACAGTTGTTGTGTGATTGGAATTTTCATACATACTTCATCAGTTATTAAGGGATTACATACATCAGTTCTTGGAATCACTACTTCATTGTCAACCATATTAATGTTTATAGCATGTATATGCTTGCACATATTATTTTTTATTGTGTAATCGTAACACGTACAAGAAAACAAATGAATACAGACTTTACACGCAACACATATAATTTTACATGAACATGGTTCATGTTTCTTAACCAGGTAATTTTGATCTAAAGTTTCAGATGTTACAGACCAAGTGATTTCTGATACTTGATGAATTCCAGAAATATTAATCTGAGCAGCAGCACGATGACGACTATTAATAGCATTTACGTAGTGATTAACTTTTCCACCATTGCACAGTTTTATTAGTCGTTCAAAGTTTTTATCGCGTAATGATTTAAGTAAATGCCAGAGTAACACATCTAGGCGTTGATTTTTCTTCCCCTTTAAGTATACATGTTTTAATGTTTTATGGAAAGCTTCTAATACCATATTTGTATTAAGCATTACTTGATGTCGATAGCAAGCTGCCCATAACTTTTTCCGATGTACATATGTACGCTCAAAGTATGTTTTAAAATTATGCAATGCTGGTTCCTCTTCTAATTTACAAAGAAAAGAAGTTAAAAGTTCTTCAAACTGAGTTTCATTTGGTTCTTCAAGTAATACACGAAGAGTTTTATAAACGTAAGCTTTTACATTTTGAGAACCAGAAATTTTTTTCAGATTCTTGCGCCAGTTATTGTCAATATGCCACTTACACAACAAACGATGTTGAGGAATAGGCCACATTATGTTAATCCATGCGTTCCAAAATGCTGGAGCATCATCACTCATGAATACATTTGGAGTAAGGCAGCCCATTACCTCCTTAATTTTTGAAAAGAAAACTTTCATATGTACTTCGTCAATTTTTGTGCTTATACAAAATGCAGCAGGGTATCCTTCTCCAAATTCATCAATCACTACAATTGTAGTTAAATTAAAATTATACTGATTGGTACCATGTGTAGAATCAATACACAATTTTCCATTACTAAATTTATGCAAAACAGCTTTTTGAGTTTCAGTGAGTATTATTAACATAAAATCATCTAAGTCTAATGGTGGATATTCTGTTCCTTGTGTTTTATAAAAAACAATTGGATTTGAAGAACTATTGGCAAATCGTTTTACTTGAAGGTCCACACTTAGAGCATCAATATCATGTAATTTATACTTGTGAAGTAATCCAAACTTAGTGGAAATGTTGTAAACATCTTTCGTAGTTATGATGTTTTTTTTTTCAATTTTGTTATCAAAATTGTCACGGATTTGATCAATAATGGCATTAGGAGTTACTCCATTTTTAATTTTATCTGGTAATGAACATGAATAAGTTACGGATAAATAGAAGATATTAAATTAAAATGTAAATAAAATGTTACAGTTACCAGCAATTGTTTCCTGAACAGAAGAAGGGATTGGGAGAAATTTGATATCATTCTGATGTCCATGATGTGTTTTACAATAAGTGACGTTAACGTTATTATCTGTAACTACTGTTCGAATAAATGAAGGACAGCATTGATCTAATAGTCCAATGAGAAAAACAAAACATTTAATGTCTAAAAATGTCTGTATGATCTATTATTAAGGAAATAAATTGATCTATTTTTACACTTTGTTATAATATCACTTACTTATTTTACACGATCCAGTAATTTTTAAGGAACGTTTTCCCATACTTTTACTATTAAAAACTCCAGAGCGGTGACAATAATACTTCCTTGTAGTTACAGTTTTATTTTTATTAAGTTTTACTCCTCTGTGTTGAACAAACCTAGTTGAAGTGCTTATTTCTTCCCTCTCTCTCCAATCATTAAATTCTACAATTAATTAACAAAATATTTAAACATAGTTATAACATTGTAATAAATATAATATACAATTTATTATAATATTTTTTAAAATTGTATCTTTACCTTGTAATGAAGCAAAATTATGAGAAGTTATTTCTAACTGAGGATTATTTTTCTCAATGCCAGTAAAATGGGTGACTTTTATATGTCGAGCTAAATTATATTTTGTTTTTAATTGGATGTTGCAGTATGCACATTCAAAATACATAATTAAAAAATATATGAAAGAACAATGTGTTAAAATATTTAAAAATATAAAATACAAAAAAACAATTTACTATAATATTTAAGAAACAATGTCCATGCTACAAGGTATTCATACAGAAAATGTTACATTAATAAGTAAGAAAATTTCCACAGGAAATAAAAATTAATACAGATAACAGTTGAAAAGGGTTTTACCTGTATTAAATAAATACTGTGTATATTACAGTACATAAGTATTTTAGGTAATAATAGACAAAATATACAAAAATGAAATAAATAAATTTCTTTCATACAGATTATGTTTAAATGGATAAGTATACAAATTAGAATTTGTTAATGAATGGCTTAATAAAAATTATATTCATCTATTAGGAATAATACCATGACTTTAATGTGTTTTAAACGCTTCAGAATACAAAAATAATTTTTAATCAAATTAAATAATATATTTACAAGTGTTAACAATATTATTGAATTATTATTATTATTGAACATGATTATTAATAATCGTTTTATTGTTTAAATACAATATAATATTTTACATTTTCAATAATAAATTAATATTGTACATTTTTCAAATAATTTGAATTTAATTTGGCGCTCACTGATAACGTATTGACCATATTAATGGTATTAAACTTTGTGACCGTGATAATGATTGGTTATGTGATAATGGTTTTGTGATAAGAGAAACTGCTCCGAGGGGGCTGTCTCTAGACGCTCGTTGTATATTCGGGGTGTGTAGGTACTAGACGGACATCCCTTTACGTGTTTCTTGTGATTAGAATGACTAATAACTATGCAGGGGCAAGACCTGGTGCACTGAGCGCATTTTTTAATCCATGACTGCATGACGACTATCCGTTCGTACACGTCAGAACTCAGAGGTAGTTTAACGTTCAGATGTTCTTCCTTGTACATAATATGCCAAATACTTTACATATAAGATATATTTACCCATATTTAAAGTATATTTTGATTACCTAATACCTATGCTGACTCAAGATGGATGGTTTAGAGCCTAGCTGTTATAGGCACGGATTAATATTAATCCAGTATAATACAGTGGCGAGTCAAATTAATTTTTTATGAGTTTGAAGTTAATTTTTTTATTATAAATTCACGATTGAGAAGTGAATAGTGAGTTGTGACCTAAATACAATATAATAATATGCTTTTGGATGTACACAGGTCTCTGGTAATTATTAATAATTAGGAATGGACGATAGGTAACAACAGTGGCGTATACATACATGTTGTATGGGGGGAGAGGGATCAGATAAAATTTAAACCTAGGTACCTGAACATTAAAAGAATAAAATATAACAAAATATAATGCGATTAACTGTCCTATTCTTCATATTATTTTTCAAAATAATATGTGGCTCGCAGCACTTTTATTGCTGGCCACTTCTGTTGTGTAACATGTACAAACAAAAAAATAATCATTGTATAATCAATACATTCATTGTTCCACTCAGAATATAAAATTATAAAAATGTTTATTGTATTAATATTACAATAATATGCAACATAAAAGACAAACATCTTATAATATGATATAAAGTTATTTATTAATGAAGTCTTAAATTAAAATACCAGTTAAGTGTAAATTACACAGAATCAGAATATAAAGTTAACATTCTACTAATTGTACCTTATCTTTTTCAATCTTGACATTTTTCATTTTCTTAATTTTTTTGAGAAATATCTTTTCTAGATCACTTTCAGATTTTTTAGCTTCGTTCAAAAAATGAAATTCACTCATAACTCTTTTCATTACTTTACTTAATGAGATTGGTTTATTTTTTTTAGTTTGCAACACTTGATTAATAGCTTCATTCCAATCGAATTTACGCCCGGACTGTACTTCTGGAACTTGGGGGACATCTTCTAAAATTTTTTTAAAAAAACATTTATTAATTTAGAATAAATAAAAATTTTATAATTTAGAGGACACACAACACAAAAATAATTTTTCTTCAAATTAGTATTAAATGCTAAATATCATTGTAATCAGAACTAATAACCATTTAGAAAAAATCTAATCTAAAACCCGCTACTTGATATTTTCCAATTTGAAGAAAATGTATGAATCATAAATATGTATTAATAACTAATTAATAACTATTACATAATTACCTAGTGGGAATTAGGTAATTTTTACATTTTAATCTTTTATATGGTGAAAAACAAAACGTTAAACAAAATCAGTTAGAAAATAAAAATATGAGTACCCAGCCCAAAAATACATAAATATAAAAAAAATATTATTTAAGGATATAATGGGAATAGATATCTAGAATAACTGTGTGACTTAATTTTGCTCGGTTCCATATCTTACACATGAAAAGTTACTCACTTATGTGCACGGGTTCAGCTAGTTTGTATTAGAAATATGATGTTTTTTGAGCTAAAAATGATAGAAGTATCAGAATTTAAATATAAAGTTTAGTTTTTTTTTAATATTAAAAATACTAAGAGATTTTTGTTACGTTTATGTTGTAGTTAACACGGCGCAGCGTGTTGATTGATTTTGATACACATATTAAATATTTCAAAAAACTTATCACTTTAGAAAAATGCTAGTTTCACTAACTTTGTCAGTACATAAAAAAATACCACATAGGCACATAGTACAACAAAAATTAGCAATTATACTTTAAGGGTAGAAATTTTACGTGAAGCGAGAAACATTTACAAATATAAAATAAGCAATTACCACGAGCCAGGGCCAATGATGTCTCACAGGTCTTCTTTCAATTTATTATAACTCATTGAACAATGTTAAAAGAAACCTATACCATTATTCTTAGAATTGAACATTCTTTAAAATTAAAAAAAAACTTATTTTTTATGTTTTGTGTTCCTTTAAGGTTTGATATAATAATAATAAATAAATCAAAATTACCAGTTTTCAACATTTTTTGTTTTGGTTCTTCATTTTCTTCATTATTATTTAACTTCCTTTTTTTCTTTTTTGATATTGGTTCTTTATCTGATTCTATTATACCATTGGTAACAGTTGCTAATTCATGTTGGTATTTCATTTTCTTTTTCATTTCTTTTTTTTCTTTTTTACTCATTACTGATTCCGATTTTTCCTGAAAAATTCCATTTTCCTTATTTTCTACACAATTTGTATTACAGATATTATCATCGTTTTTGAAAGCAACATTATTAGTTACTTCTATTTCTGATTTATTTTTCTTAGACTTTTTAGTTGAGCTAGGATGAGCTTCTGCTGTGTCCTCTTTTAATTTCAAATTGTCTTCAGTTCCAGAGTTAATTTTTAATATGTTCTTTTTCTTTGTTGATTGTTGTTCAACATCTGATTTTGTTTCAATTTCTGCATCAAGTGATTTTTTACTTTTTTTTTTTTTCTTTTTCGGTGTTTCCTCACTACTAAAATTACTATTTAGAGTTACAATAGTTTCACTATCAGTGATCTTTCTTTTCTTAATTTCTCGTGGGTCTTGAATGGATTCGCTATCAATGTTTTCTGTATTCATTTTATTTTTTTTAGACTTTTTAGCTGAGTTAGGCTGAGCTTCTTCTGTTTTGTCCTTTTTCTTTGTTGACTGTGATTCAGCGTTTCCATCCGATTTCGATTCTGTTTCATTATTTACTGTATCAAGAGATTTTTTACTTTTTTTCTTCTTCTTTTTTGGTGTTTCCTCTGTTTCATTATTGCCATTTAAATTGTTAATTATTTCATCATTTCCAATGCTTATTTTATTTTTAATTTCTTGAGGTTCTTCTTGAATTGAATCATTCTTCACCAAGTTCCCCGATTTATTATCAACTGGTTTTTCATTTGAATTCTGAGGTAGTTGTGCTTTGTACTCAGCTTCTATCATATCAAACACTTGGTCAACTATGTATCCTTTTCTTCTATAAGCAGGAGCTGTAGAAAAACAAAAGTTCTGAAACAAAACAACAAATATCAGTACGTTATAATAAACTAAATTGGTATTGTTATAATATTTAAAATTATGACATTACATATTATAATAAAATTATATATGAAGTTAAATTATGATGCATAATATAAGAATTACAAGAAATGTTCATTCATGATGACATTACATTTCTAACCTATAGATTTCAACTAAAATATACTGTAATCTATTGATCTATCTATTATACAAAAAAATATTCATTGTGGTTTATGAATCTTTTTTGCTGTTACAAATATAGAATTTAAATAGACAATATGAGAACATAATTTACATAATAAAAATAATTAATTTAGGTAGTTCCTTTATTTTAATTAATGGATTATAGGTAATTTATATAGATAATAATAAATAAATGGGGGACGAGGTGGCCGAACGGCCAACGCCATTCCGCAAATGGTAGCAGACAATGTGCCGCACATTGGCACAACTGCGAGGGGCTAGGGGGCTTAGCCCCCCCCCTGACAAAGATTTAGCCCCCACAAATATCCCTTATTGATTCAGATATAAGCCCCTTATGGGTTATTTTAATAATAAATAGTTTTGTTAGCCCCTCCAGAATTTTAACTCAGCCAAGCCACTTAAATATTAATAAATAACAAACAAATAAACATATCTAACACTTATATATTACATTACAACAAACTCCAAGGGACTAAATGTTTTTTTTCGTTATAACGGAAATTTCTTTGTAACAGCTTTCAAAAAGCTTAATAGCTTAATAGCTTTTTGGTAGGGAACTTCTATGACTTTCGTTATAACGGGAATTTTCGTTATATTGGTATTCGTTGCAACGGGAACTTACTGTATGTACAATAAATTACTTATATTAGTAGTTTTATTGATAAATTAATGATTTATAAAGGTAGTTAATGAATTATGAATTCATAAATTATTAAGTGTTAAAACAATTGTAATAACTAATAGGTACTTGACTTTTTAACTGTATAGCCAAAAAAGTAGGAGTAATAATTTTTTGAACGATTAATAAAGGCTAAAATGCACTTTACCACGCCCCTCACAAATTTCAAAATTTGAGTTTTTAAAAGACATATTTTTCAAAGCTGATTTCAAAACTGTTTGAATTTTTTTGCGGAAACCATTATTTTGAGTTATAGAGTTCTAAAGTTTGCAATTTTATGTTTATACGCATAAGTGCCACACTACTTTACTACCCCACAGAGCAACTCGAGTTTGGCGACCGGGGCCAGCCGGTGAATACAAATGATGATGAAAAAACTGATAATAATGTTTATAAACATATCTTAATTGAATTGACTGTTAGGTTATTAATTATGTATATTGGTACAATATATAATAATTAAATATAAATTGAATTTGAATTTTAAAATTGGGTATACTTCTATTTTACCAGGCACCCTGAATTTTTGAAGTTTTTTTTTTCATCTTGTTAATTTTTCAACACTGAAAAAGGTGGTGCAAACAAAAATTGGCACAGATTATTAATTTCAAAGTTATATCCGTTTGAAGTTGGTCGCATTTACAATTTTTCTAAAATAACAAGCGCAGCGAAATGCATTAATTGTTCCTTCATAAATAATAAATATAAATACCTGGAATTTATTTTTTTTTCTTGGGACATTATCAAACTTGGCTATAATATTCAAAAATTGTCTTTGTTCATTAGGCAAATCTTTATTATTCATTACTGACTGAACAATATCAACCCAACCAGCTTGTTTACGTTTTCCTTTTTCAGCCGACGGTTTGGGTACATAACCTTTAGCAGAATATCTCTGGTCTTCGGTTACACACTGACAATGGTCTCTCACAGTCTCATAACTGAAATATAATAAATCATTCATTTTATAGTTTTTCTGCATTCATTGATTAACAAACTAAAACTAATTGATAATAAAAAAGTTGTGTTGACATAGATTTACAGTTTACAACTCATGACGTATAGGATTATTGACGATCCAAAGCTTATCAAATTGATAATCTGAAACGGGCACGCTGTGTATCATTTATATGTTGTTTTTCTATCTGGCCCATTTCAGACCACCCCCCATTGGCCTGTAAATTGATAAGCTTTTGATCGCCAATAAATTATAAAATAGTAATCTTGCTTGTAATTATTTTTTTTAAATACATACAATTTGTAATAAAAATCACGGAGGACTTGACACGTGTGTGTGTTGTCACTATCATACAAATGTACAACACAGAAATTTGAGTTCAGCAGTTCTAACTAATAGCGTTTTCCATCAGACTGCACTTGTGTGCACCAGACACTAGTCGAAACCGTGAATTTTGGCGGTGTGGAAAATTATGTGATCCTGTGATTATGGTATCAGTGTTTGCATGTAGTGTGCACTAGAGCAGTCAGATGGAAAATGGTATTATACTCTGTTCTACGATAGATCATGCTGCTCACCGACCAAAACTGGTTCCCCTACGACACACCCTGTCAAAGGGGAACCAGTTTCGATAGCAGGGTGACATAGGGGATTCACAGAACCGGCATGTTTTCTCGTGGAACAGAGTATAGTGTTGTTAGCTTTATTATTAGAGTGGACATTATCAAACTTAAAGGTGTGAACATTATCAGACTTCTCTCATTGTTTTTTACAATATTTTTAATTTTTAAGTGAATTATAACTTATGAGCATTTTTAAATGTTAATATTTTACAGACTTATAACTCACATCAAAATTTTAATACTGCAAAAAATCAACAAGACGGACAGCTTAGATAAAACCGTAATATTTAAGATAACAACAAATTGGAATGGCTGAACTTAAATTTTGAATTATGTGTTAGTAAGAGAGTGAATACAATATGGGTACCACACGTCTTCTCAATAAACAAAAATTAAAGTAAATCATATATTTTGATAATTATTTAATCTTACTTTAATACACAATTTAAAATATAATCATTATTTACTTGAGATTAGGTTATTGTCATATACACATAAGCACTCCCAAGGAAAAATTTTGTTATTAATTATTATATCTTAACCAATTGGAATAACCTACAATTAGCAATATTTTCCATATACCTATTTATTACAAATATAATCTACAAACAAAATCATATAATATGTATTCCAAGTATTTTTAAATTAATTGTGTTAATTAATATAAGTTTATATAATTATATACATGGATATATTATGAAGGTTGGTGAGAATAAATGATAATGAATACAACTCACTTAAAATCCTTTAAACAGTCGACACAACAGAAGCTAACTGCGAAATTTTTTCGTTTACATTCATACTGTATGTGTTTTTCCACTTTCGGCTTATTCACAGAATCGCCACAATTATTACAAGTAAAAACAACCATGATCTAAAATACAAAAATATAACGTAGTTAAGATACGCAATCATTTAAAATAAACAGATTAGTGAAAGACGATGTATTAAATTTAAATATTGAAGAAACCAGTCAACTTACATACTTAGCTACTTAAGTGTAAAAAAATTAGCAAGTAACCAATATATATTATTAATTTAATTCTCTACCGAATAAAAATAATAAGCAATTGGAAATTAGCACGTGCTAAATAGTAAATAGTGTGGTCCCCGAATCAGCAATACACTCTACAGCCGGTACTAACTAGTAACTATTTTAGTGAACTTGAGTTAGTATTCCAACAGTCAAAAGAATCAGATAAAAACTAAGATGATCGATACAAATGATACATTTGTACCAAATTTGAAAACATAATTAAATAATAAATATTGAAATTTTAAATCCACCATCCACATTCCACGTTGTTTTAGATGAGGTATGGCCAGTGACCACGATTAAAGATAGTACTATCTACTCAATGAGTAGATAAATGATAATAAATAATCATGAAGAGGAACCAGACAGTAAATAAAAACGGTTTATATCACTTTCATCACGGACTAAGATATCTTAGTCCGGAAACGAGCATATCTGTATAAAACATGGACTGAGATACAAAATGTGACGCAAAATAAAACCACTGGTAGCGCTGAAAACATTCGATTATGAGTGTTGATGATAACAGAGACACCTTTTGCGGGCCGTCCCCCGTCACCCGCCCACCTTGTCGTTTCCAGTCCATTATATCTTAGTCCGTGCAGACAGTAAATAAAAACCATGAACTACTACACAGGACTGGACACTATTGGCAGGAGGAGAGTAGGGGGTCGTCCACAAAGTTGTACATATTCGGTACACATGCGACACAGCGCCATCTGTGAGATAAGAAATATTTTGTTATATAAAATACCGCCTTAGTAGTTCATGCTTAAACTGTTCACTCTTTAAGCAGTAATTATTTTCTGATAATATTCTATAAATAGTATCATTATTATCTTGAACTGTGTTATTAATAATTGTTTTTCAAAAATTAAAAAGTAAATTTATTATCAGTTATTATCACTAATATCACTATTCTTTAGTGTTATCCTATAAAAAACGTAGTTCGTACTACTAACAGGCAGAGTGCAGGTACATCGCATGTGTACGAACCCTGTACAACTTTGTGTCCGTGATTTTCTCTGTAGTGTCCAGTCCTGTGTAGTAGTTCATGATAAAAACGGTTTATATCACTTTCATGAATGAAAATATCATATCAGTTTGGCTTGGCATAAACAACAAATAACATTTATCACTGACCGCCGAATTTCAAAATATTTAAATTTTTAATATCATATTATTATAATATATATAAAATACAAATACAATTTCACAACTGAAGCCGTATTTTTTTTTTTTTTACCGAAATTTTTTTAATATATTTCCAATCATATTGTGTACTACTTCACTTAGTATATTTATTAGGCAGTGGTATTACTTATGTATTATTTATGTGTTTAGGTAGTTGCAGGTAAGCATAATAGAAGATTGTTAGTTTATTATTCATTATTATTCTCCTAGACTCTACGCCATACATGTCAACTTATTGAACTTAAATAAACAATCTTACATATAACGATTCATTATTTGAATAATTAACTCGTAGACCATACTACCATAGACCGCTGCAGTTTTTGTTTTGGTTTACTTCTTAAAATGTCGTACCACTTACGGGTTAAATATGGAAATAAATCATTATACGTTTTTGTTTATGTTCAATGTCATTAAAATAGAAATATTTATCTCGTATAAATATAAAGTTATATTGTGAAATTCAAAACAAATTAGTAATTACTACCTATAATCATACCAATATAATAAATATTTAATATACACATACAATTAACACTAATGACTGAATCCAATCAGATTTATTTTGTTCTAAGTACATATTATGATATATATTTATTTGGTATAATCGTATAGATAAATAAAATTTTTTTAAACTTTATTGAGTTTTATATTGTACCAAAGTATTGTGTATTATTTATAACATATTAAGATATCGATTGCGTAAATTGCGATATTGTTAACATTTATATTTCCAACATAATAAGTAATAACTAATTAAATTTCATTAAACAATTAATATAATTGATATACCTTTATACAAATATAATAATTTATGATATGTTCAGGGCCGTATTTAGAGATTTTTCGCCCCCGGGTACAATATTTATGGCACCCCTTTCCAACACATTTTTTTTAATACCATAGAAGTGGTGGCTAAATTTTATTTTTTTTTTTGGGGGGGGGGGCATAACATTAATTCATTTTTTATGTTTCCCTTTCTCATTGAAATTTAATTTGCAGTTAATTTTTAGCAATTTTAACTAGGTACCTATGCATTCCAATATTAGATTTTTAATAGAAGGTTAACTATACAAAAAAAACATAAGTAACTAGTTTATAACTTAGGTCTTAGGTAGGTACTATCTACCTAGAATCTTCCATGATTCAAATAATAAAGAATGATATACAATTAATAATATGTACTATAATATAGACATATAGTAATAATATTTATTGTTTATTTTACAATTTTTTTCTTGATTGAATATCAGCAAAATGATCTATATTCTATAATATCTTCATATTTAATTTGTTTTGTTATTTCTGATTCAATATTTAATATTGCATATTTGCATGTGAGTTTAATCTCTCTTTAGAAATTGTTGACCTTAGGTATGTCTTTATTCAGCGTAAAGTTGAAAATGACCGTTCAGCGGTACAGTTTGAACAGGGAGTAGGTACATAAAAACATGTGTAAAGCAAAGCAATACTAACACACGGGTAAATGTCTTCTGATCCTTCTATTTTTAACATAGAACTCATATCAATTATAGTTGATGGAGAATTTTTCATACTTTGAATATAACTTTGAAAATGAACACATTCGTTAATAAATGTTACATCCAAATCTTTTGTATACATTGAGTACAAATGTTCAGCTAAAACACGTACTTCTGATGGTTTTATCTTTGTGAGTCTTAACAATAAACTATACTTTGTTATGACATTATCGTAAGCTAACTTTCGACTTGTTAATTCTTCTATTATAGAATCACAAATCACTAAATATGTGTTTATTTTGAATTCCAAACTATGGTTTCTACTTTCTCACTATGCTCTTCTCTTTTAAGTTTAAACATGGTATTTATTTCGTTTGTTTTTCTTATAACTTCATTAGGTTTTTCCTTCTTTTTTTTTTTTGCCTCCTTACCATTGCATACACCACTAGCTTTGACTCTTTTTAGCTAAAGTATTAAAGTATAATTTCAACTAAAAAATTGTTATGACACAATTAAACTTATCTAGTCTTACTTATTAATTATTATTTACCTACTTGCCACTATGGCTAAATTACTGCATTCAATTCATATGTATAATGTATAAATATATAAACATATAAATATATCCAATAATTGTATGCAGATTTGCAATGTAATTTAAGTGAACCTAAACTGTGTAATTGTAGTGTACCTACCTTAACTGGCACAACCTTACAATATCAATTATAAAGTTGAAAGTTTTAATATTATTATAAATAATATAATAATAATAATAATATTTTATTTTATATAACAATTCAAAAAAAAGTAGAGAAAAAGTAGTTGAGATTTAAATTATGTAGGTACATAGTACGTAGTCACTGACATATAGAGTTTAGCAAGTTGTATAATATGAAATGACACAAATGTATTTTAGTAGCCAGTAAATAAGTACAATCGATAATCCTGATTTGCCAATACGGGCCAACGCAGTTATACTATACGTCTAGTTTTACAGTTTACTAGTAAAAATAAACCCACTAATATTTAATAATGTTAGGTACCTACCTACTTAGTTAATAACGTTTATTTCTCTTTATTTAAAATTATAAAATATAGGTAAAAAAAAATGTATGCATATGTGAATTTAAAAAATAAATAATAATAAAATACATCATTTTTTAGAAATCTTTCTCTTTACGAAAAAAATTAATTTTTTGTTTATTTTATCTGAGATAATTTTGCCGTCCCCAAAGTGTGCCGCCCCCAAAGTGTGCCGCCCCGGGCAATTGCCCACCGGTGCCCCCCCTTAAAACCGGCCCTGGATATGTTTAATTATGTAAAACAGGTAGTCAATCTCTATTGATGAATATATAATAATATAATATTTTATATTACTAATATATAGTATAAGTCTAAACAGTACTTTACGATAGACAACTATGACTATATTATGTTAATTAGTAAACTGTTTAACACTATTGGTTAATTCAATAATAATTTTCTTCACACACCATGTTTAATTAAGTGTAATTTATGTTTTTACAATATTCATGATCAACATCTCAAAAAAGTAATAATATTTTGGTATATATAATAAATAATAATGTATATAGCACTTAATATTTTATAAGAATTTTGGGTACCACGGCCGTAATATCACACATCTAGTATATTTTAGTATATGATTATGGTAGACAAATAGGAAACAAAATAAATAAGATAAAAACAATTTGAAACATAATTTATATAATTGCACTTTACCAATAACAATAAAATAACTACAGCGCTGTAAATAAAAATGTTTAACCCTCAATTATTCAAACCATAAAATTACAGTATAATTATTCAGTTGTTACAACAAATTAACTCAACAAAAAAAAACTTGTGTACCTATTTGATAATATTATAAATTGCACTTTTTTTAAATTAATCTTGATTAAAGCGTAAATAACAAATTAAAAAAAATGGTATTTGGCTAAAGTTATATAGTTTTGATACCTTATTATAGTCTTTAAACTTATTTAGAGACATCTGTAAGACAATAAAAGGTTTTTTAAAGTTAACTTTTAGTAAAGATCTAACAAATGACAATGGTGACCAAATATCTATTTTTTTTTATATGTTTCTCAATCTGTGAGTGTGCATTATCCACTACTTGGATGCACGAGTGGCCTGGAA